CCTCACAAGGATGGATTAGCTGCATGTCACAGATCTTTATCATCCTCACCAAACCACAAATACACTGCTGAGGATGTTACACAGCTCATTGAATTCATACTTACAAACAACTACTTTGCATTCAATAAAGACATCTATCTTCAATATATGGGTACTGCGATGGGAAGTAAAATGGCACCCCAATATGCCAATTTATTTATGGCTGACTTGGAGGAAAAATTCCTGAACAGCATGAAACAAATACCATACAGATACTATCGCTATATTGATGATATTTTCATCATATGGACGGAAGGTGAAGAAAACGTAAAACAATTTTACTCATTGATCAACACTTTTCATCCATCAATCAAACTAAAAATGGAATACTCAAACACACATGTCAACTTCCTAGACACCACAGTATACATCAGGGATGATACGTTTCACACCTCAATATACAGGAAACCCACAGACAGATGCAACTACCTCCACAGTTCTAGCTTCCACCCCCAACACAAAAACGTGCCATCATACACAGTCAGGCCATTAGATACCACCAAATATGTTCTGACCCAAGAGACAGAGATAAACATCTCGGGACACTAGCAGACGCCTTCCATAAGAAAGGTTACAAGGACAAAACTATCCACACCAGCATAAACACAGCCTTGAGAATCCGAAGAGAAAATCTACTTCAGTACAAAGAGAAAAAAACAAACAACCATGTACCTCTAGTAACCACATACAACCCAGCACTAGAAGGGATAAGAAAAAAAATCAAAGATTTACAACCCATCATAACAGAGGATGGAACTCTGAAAGAAATATTCCAGCAACCCCCAATACTGGCCTTCAGACAACCCCCCAACCTCAGAAATAAACTAATCAGTAGGAAAAATACGCTGCAAACTGTGCAACCAAGTCAATCCATCAAAGTGTCAGACACTTTAAAAGGGATCTTCAATATTTCGGATCATACAGCTGCACCTCTAGTAATGTTGTGTACCTTATCCAGTGCAGAAAATGTAACAAAGGATCTTATGTTGGCGAAACAGGACAGAAGTTGCAAACAAGGATGAATTTGCACAGACATACCATCAAGTAACTTAAAGAAGATGACTTCTGCACACCTGTGGGACACCATTTCGCACAACCAGACCACTCAATGGGAGACCTCAATATTTTAGTTCTTAAAGGAAATTTCAAATCCATTCAGAAAGAAAAACTTTTGAACTAAGAATGATAATTCTATTTGACACAAGAGATAACGGCCTGAATTTGGACATGGGATACCTCAATCATTATCCAACAGTTTTATGACTATCAGCTCAAGCTTGACTCCCTCTGTGTGAGTGTTGTATTTACCCCCCCCCCACCTTTTGCTTTTTCTGTGTCTTATCTCTAGCCTCTTTTCATCTCTTCTAACATTCTTCTAAAACTTTGTGATTTGTATAGTACTGCTTGGACCTTGAAAAAGGGGACACTCCCCGAAAGCTTGTCCTCAAAATTGTATGTTAGTGCAAATAAAAAAAGTATCACGGACAGTACTCAATTGTTTCTGTCATTCTTCTGTTTAAAATTTAATTTTTTTTCCCCTTTGCATGCAAGCACATTTGTGCTTATTTGCTTTGCTAAAGTTGCAAGGGTTAATTTTATACCAGGCAGATAAAGTAATAGCAACTACTTGGTAGTTATCTGATTTCCAAGCAGGACCTGGGATATCTCCAAACATGTTAGGAGCTTTCTATACACTAATGCATATTAGATCAGCCATATTTAAGTATATGTATAGTCAAAGCTGTTTTATAAGGTTTGCAAAGAGAAGGGAAGAGTTAAACCCCCTAACAGTTTATTGGCTATATATTGCAAATATATTGTGACAGTGCGGCGATCTGTCACGATGTGGAAAGGTTACTTCACCCGGGATTCTCAACAAGGCAGGTTGAGGGGCTCCAGGGTACTTGGCTGATGCAGAGGAAAGTGGCTTTTCACTTTCCTCAGTTGTTTGTAAAGTCCATTTTCGATCCTGGAGCCTGGAGATTTCAAAGCAATTTGGGAGGGATGAAATCTCCAATCCTGGGACCAGGTTTTGGGAATGGCCAGGATACTGATTGCTCAGGTGTGTATGGCTCTCTTCTAGAATCAGGACCAGGGTTCTGGGCTCCACCCTGGCAGACAGGAGGTCAGTGCCCAGAAGTCAGGAGGGCTCCACCTAGGTGAGGTGGAAGCCAGAAACAGCAAGGCGCTACTAGGGAGTAGCTGTAGGCTAGTGGCTAGCTGTGTGCAAAACAGCCATCTTTGAAGGAGTCTGCAGGAGACAGATGTAAGCCTGAAGAGGAAGGCCAGAGGAAGATTGTGTATATCTGAGAGAGCCAGGAGGCTGAATTTTGTTTATATTGATGGTGGATACCCCTGCGTGGGAAACCTGTTATGTGGAACTTTTCCTTTAAATAAAAGTGGGCTAAAACGGCCCTTAAAAAGAAAGCGAGTTGCTGTGTGTTTTAAAGAAGCTCTACCACTTGATGCAAGTTCCCACAATATATATATATATATATATATATATATATATATATATATATATATTAAAATTATCAACCTACAGAGGACTGCTTTCGAAGACACCCCAAAAATCAAAGTGAAAAATTATGCAGCAGGCTAGTCCATGTTGCTGAAACTTCATTGCAGCAGCTCAAAATGGTAGTCAGTAGTTTTGTATTGCCCCCATGTGTTTGTATGCATGCCTGACAATGTTGGCGCATACTCCTAATGAGATGACGGATGGTGTCCTGGGGTGTTTCCTCCCAGATCTGGACCAGGGCTTCACTAAGCTCCTGCACAGTCTGAGGTGCAACCTGGTGGTGTGGAATGGACCGAAACATGATATCCCAGAGGTGTTCTATTGGATTTAGGTCAGGCGAGCGTGGGTGCTATTCAATGGTATCGAATCCTTCATCCTCCAGGAATTGCCTGCATACTCTTGCCACATGAGGCCAGGCATTGTCAGGCACCAGGAGGAACCCAGGACCCACTGCACTGCACTGTAGGGTCTGACAATGGGTCCAAGGATTTCCTCCTAATACCTAATGGCAGTCAGGGTGTCATTGTCTAGCCTGTATATGTCTGTTTGTCCCTCCATGGATATGTCTCCCCAGACCATCACTGACCCACCACCATGCTGAATGATATTACAGGCAACATAATGTTCTCCACAGCTTCTCAAGACCCTTTCACGTCTGTCACATGTGCTCAGGGAGAACATGCTCTCATCTGTGAAAAGCACAGGGCACCAGGGGTGGACCTGTCAATTCTGGTGTTCAATGGCAAATGCCAATCTAGCTCTATGGTGCTGGGCACTGATCACAGGGCCCACTAGAGGACATCAGGCCCCAGGCAACCCTCATGAATCTGTTTCTGATTGTTTGGTCAGAGACATTCACACCAGTGGCCTGCTGGAGCTCATTTTGTAGGGCTCTGGCAGTGCTCATTCTGTTCCTTGCACAGAGGAACAGATACCGGTCCTGCTGATGGGTTAAGGACCTTCTATGGCTCTGTCCAACTCTCCTAGAGTAACTGCCTGTCTCCTGGAATCTCCTCCATGCTCTTGAGACTGCTGGGAGATACAGCAAACCTTCTGGCAATGGCACATATTAGTGTGCCATCCTGGAGGAATTGGACTGCCTGTGCAATCTCTGTAGGGTCCAGGTATTGCCTTATGCTACCAGTTGTGACACTGACCCTAGCCAAATGCAAAAATAATGAAAAACAGTCATAAAAGACTAGTAGGGAAAAAAAATGTCAGTGGCCTCCACCTGTAAAACCATTCCTGTTTTTGGGGTCATCTCATTGTTGCCTAGTGCACCTTTTGTTAATTTCATTAACACCAAAGCAGCTGAAACTGATTACCAACCCCCTCTGCTAACTGATCAGATCAACATCCTAGGAGTTTAATTGACTTGATGCTATGCTCTGATTAAAAAGTGTTAAGTTGGGGGGCGCTCGTGAGCAGCAACCAGGATGGCTGCTTCCTAAATTAACTCCTCGGCCGCCGGACACATCGGCCGATTTTCACTCCTCAGGGGGGTCCTGCATCCCTTTAGGCCTGCATCCCTTTAGATGGGATTTCCCTTCAGGGGTATTTTACCAGAAATGAAATTTGTTTGCAATGATGTTGTTACACATTCTGTATACAGAGCACCTCCAGGTAGCCATATTGCATTGCATTTTACAGAAAATAACAGAGCTGCTGTTTGAAAAGGAAAGGTAATTTTTTAATAACATTCAATTACAATATGACTCAAATGTATATGCTATAATTTTTTTTTTTTTGCTATTTTTTCCCACAAAAGTTGAGTTACCTTTTAAAGCATACGTGTGTACATTATTATTCCCTAGCTACAGACAGAAGGTTTTGAAAAAAGGTTTTTAAGTCACATATTGTATCAATAATTTCAGTGGGCATTCATTTTGAGTGTAAACTTTAAACATAATGTAAACATAACATTGAACATAAAATAGGTTGATCATGCATCATGGCAATGATCCAAAACAGATACAAAAATCATATCAGTAATCATTATACACAAAATATCAACATTTCCTTTTTAATGGAGCTGAGAGGAGAAGAAAACTGTATATATGGCTGCAAACTGTATATATGGCTGCTGTGAGAGAGGAGTGGGCGGAGGTGAATCTGAGATATTCCGGGCAGCATTATCTAGTGTAGCATTATTATGTTCATATTAATAATAATTTATTTGAGCACAGGTATAATTTAACTACCTGCCGATCGCAGATAGCCGAATGACGGCTGCACTGCGGCCAGCCAGTTCTGAGTGGACGTCATATGACGGCCTCCCAGAACGCGCTCTCCTGCGCGCCCCAGGGGGCGCGCACCCGGCGATCTCCGTGATCGCTGTGTCCTACGGACACAGCTGATCACGTGATGTGGTAAAAGGCCAATCACAGCGGCCTTTTACCACGTGATCAGCGGTGTCCAATGACACGCTGATCAGAGGGAAATGCAAGTGCCGGTTCTCGGCTGCACTTTCCTCACGCTGTCAGATCGTGAGGAAAGTACTGCCGAGAACCGGCAGTTGTCAGAGCGGGGATCGGCACCGATCATCAGGGTACTGATGATCAGTGCCCTGATGATCGGTGCCCAGCAGTGCCACCCGCAAGTTCCGCCCACCTGTGCCCAGCAGTGTGCCCACTAGCTCCGCCCACCTGTGCCCAGCAGATCACCCACCTGTGCCCAGCAGTGCACCCACCTGTGCCACTCTGCAGTGTCACACACCTGTGCCCAGAAGTGCCACCTACCTGTGCCCAGCAGTGCCACCCACCTGTGCCCACCCACCTGTGCCCACCAGTGCCACCCACCTGTGCCCACCCACCAGTGCTGCCCACCAGTGACACCCACCAGTGCAGCCCAGCAGTGCTGCCAGTCAGTGCCACCAGTCAGTGCCCAGGGGTTGTGCCAGTCAGTGCCGCCAGTCAGTGCCCAGCAGTGATGCCAGTCAGTGCCGTCTATCAGTACCCATCATCAGTGTCACCTATCAGTGCCGCCTATCAGTGCTGCATATTAGTGCCGCCTATCCGTGACACCTCATTAGTGCTGTCTATCAGTGCCGCCTATCCGTGCCACCTCATTAGTACTGCCTATCAGTGCCCTTTAGTGCTGCCTATCAGTGCCCATCAGTGCCACCTACCAGTGCCCATCAGTGCTGCCTCATCAACGCACATCAGTGAAGGAGAAAAAATACCTGTTTGAAAAATTTTATAATAGAAACAAAGAAACTTTTTTTTTTTTTTTCAAATTTTTTGCACTTTTTTTATTTATAGCGCAAAAAGTAAAGTGCCCAGTGGTGATTAAATACCACCAAAAGAAAGCTCTATTTGTGAGAAAAAGATGATCAAAATTTCATATGGTTACAATGTTGCATGACCGCGCAATTGTCAATCAAAGTGCGGCAACGCTGAAAGCTGAAAATTGGCCTGGTAAATAAGGGGGTATAAGTGCCTGGTAGGCAAGTGGTTAACCCTTTTACTGTAATGAACGTAAGGGTTATGTTGAAACTGAACTGCTTGCTGAAGGCCAGCTCATTAGCTCTTTATTCTGCTGCATTTTCTAAGATTGTAAGAATCGATTTTTGTGAATAGATGTGATCAGCAACTTACTAAACACTTGTTAGAAAATTGTGTAAAGGAGGTGGCTACAGCTTATATGAAGCTCCTGTTATTTTAGTTAACCCTGTCCCTTCTTGTCTGTGATTCTAAATCTAGTTTTAGCTTAGGGTTCAATAACCAGCATATGCTAGAGCTAGACTAGGCATCCAATGGCCCATTAGCTAGTTAGAGGTCTGGTTGCAGGAAGATTAGTAGTTACTATGGACTAAGACACAGAATACATACTGTAGGTTGACTCTGAGTTCCAGTATCACACCACAGTTTCTGTTGGTGAGAAGCTGCGTGCCAGGCTGTTTGGAAAATGGGTGGAGGATCTCTTCATCATTGCTCTTGTCTTCAATATCAAGAAGGATGCCACATTGTGATTCCACTTAGCAAAGATTCTAATTATCTTATTTACCTACATATTTAGCATAATATCCTGTTTGGGGAGAGACATTTCTCATAACCCCCCCAAAAGAGGGCTACACCTACTTGTGCTCCCCACTGAATGGGGTGCTGGCTTATCCTAATACCAATCCAGGAGGATAATAACTGTGTAGCACCCTCCTAGATAGGTGCTAGAAGTAGATAGATTTAGTCTGACTCTCAGTATCTAATGAAGCTGCATGTTTGTTGTTAGGTAAATTTAGCTTGACTCACTCAGTGTGCCTGCAATTCTGGGTTAGGTAAATTTAGTTCTAGCTTACAGTCAATGCAGCTGCATGTGATTGTATAGGGTTTGTTCTGGGTCTCACAGGCTGCAGATTTATTTGCTCTCACTCACTATCTCCTGAGCCACCTGGACAGGTGGTTGCTGGGAAATAGGCATAAATGGCCTGAGATTTGGAGTCTCCTTGTCTTGCCCTGGGGAGGAGGAGTGCAGTCTAGAGGGCCTTCTGCCCTCTGGGCAGTCCTGCCATGTGCTTGCTGATTTTGAAGCCTTGGCTGGGCTAGGTGAGAGGCTTGGAAGCTGACTGAGGGACTGTCTCTTGTTCGATCTGGTCTGGGATCACTGGTACCTCAGGGACCTATTTAAGTGCTGGCCTCTACTGGAGTGCCGCTACAATTGTAAAGAGGAAACTCCAGACCAACCCAGATGAAAAAGTGATAAGTCATAGGGTCTATGACTAAGTCCCTGTGGGCGGGGCAAAATGCATCAGGATATGCGGTTTGGTGGAGACATGTATGCTGAAACTGTTCCTTATTGTTTATTAACCTGATTTGGTCAGGAGTAGCAGCAATTCTTTACTCTTTATAAGCCTGCTGCTTTGTTCACATTTATATAGGGGTCACTATGAGTGGTCTTGTTTAAATATTAACAAAAGCCTCTGTCATTTTCTATCCCAGCCATCTCTCACTTCAATCCCAGCCACCTCTTCGCTTATCCCTTTTTGATATAGCCACCTCTCCCCAATCTGTTATGATCCAAGCTACCCCTCTCCTAGTCTGCTCTTATCTGGCTACCCCTCCCCCAATTTATTATGATCCCAGTTACTTCACACGCAGCCTTCTCTGATCCTGGCTACCTCTTCCTCAGCCTGATCCAATCCAGGGGCGGACTGACCATTTGGAAACTCGGGCGCTGCCCGAGGGCCCGGGGTCAGTAGGGGGCCCCATGAAATGCCCCTGGTACCTTTTTCATAGGCTTTTTTGAGTTTGGGCAAGGACACAGGGGCCCCATGATCCCCTATTGCCCAGGGGCCCCATGAGTTGTCAGTCCATCCCTGATCCAATCCCAGTCATCTCTTTTCCAGCCGTTCCAATCCTGCTCACCTCTTCCTTAAATACGTTCCAATCTGGTCACCCCTTACACAGGCTACAATAATCCTGGCTACCAACTGTCCAGCCCACTTTGATTCAGCCAAGTCTTTGTCATCTATCTCTCTGTCTGACCACTCTATTCACCCACAGTAGCAAGAAATGAATGAGTGCCTTTACTTTCAGACCCATTTATAAAGTATTAATGGGTTTGAAGATAAACAAAGCCATATGAATGTCAACAGGTGAAGAGTTTACATGGAAACAGTCGCATGTCAAAACTTAACATGTATGCAGGAGCAGGTGCATGGATCTGATAACTTTGCACTTTGATAAACATTTGCCCAATTTTAATACGTCAGAATCACCATCTTTTAATTCTACAGGCCTTGTGCTTTTAGAAAATATATGGTCTGGGGGCATTTTACTTAATTTGAAAGCTGTAAATGAAAAACTGTCAAAAATAGCAAAAAAAAAAGTGAAAAATTGTACAATGATTTAAGCTGCCCCTGAGGTAAAAAAATTGGAGGAAGGTCCTGGCAGCAAAAGGATTAAAGCAAGGCAAGCTTGTGCATTCATAGCTGATGTATAGCTGTGAAATATACTATATTGCCAAAAGTATTGGTACATGGCCACAGCTGTATGAAAATAAGCATGTAGGCATGCAGACTGCTTGTAAAAACATTTGTGAAAGAATGGGTCACTCTCAGGAGCTCAGTGAATTCAAGCATGGTACTGTGATAGGTTTCCACCTTTGCAAAAGACAATTCATGAAATTTGCCTGCTACTAAATATTCCATGGACAACTGCTAGTGGTATTATAACAAAGTGGAAGCAACTGGGAACAACAGCAACTCGGTCACAAAGCGGTAGGCCTTGTAAAATGACATAGCGGGGACAACGCATGCTGAAGGGCACAGTGTGCAGAAGTCTCCAACTGTCTGCAGAGTCAATAGCTAAAGACCTCCAAACTTCGTGTGGCCTTCAGATTAGCACAACAACAGTGTGTAGAGAGCTTCATGGAATGGGTGTCCATGGCTGAGCAGCTGCATCCAAGCATTACATCACCAAGTGCAATGAAAATCATCGGATGCAGAGGTGTAAAGCACGCCGCCACTGGACTCTAGAGCAGTGGAGACTTGCTCTTTGGAGTAACCAATCATGCTCTGTCTGGAAATCCAATGGATATGTCTGGGTTTGGCAGTTGTCAGGAGAATGGTATTTGCCTGACTGCTTCATGCCAAGTGTAAAAGTTGGTGGAGGGGAGATTATGGGTGTGGTGTTTTTCAGGGATTGGGCTTGGCCCCTTAGTTCCAGTGAAGGGAACTCTTAAGGCATCAGCATACCAAGACATTTTGGACAATTTCATGCTCCTAACTTTGTGGGAACAGTTTGGGGATGGCCCCTTCCTGTTCCAACATGACTGCGCATCAGTGCACAAAGCAAGGTCTGTAAAGACATGGATGAACGAGTTGGGGGTGGAGGAACTTGACTGGCCTGTCCTCATCTCAACCCGATAGAACACCTTTGAGATGAATTAGAGTGGAGACTGTGAACCAGGCCTTCTCATCCGACATCAGTGCCTGACCTCACAAATGCGCTTCTGAAAGAATGGTCAAACTTACCATAGACAGACTCCTAAACCTTGTGGACAGCCTTCCCAAAAGAGTTGAATCTGTTATAACTGTAAAGGGTGGGCAAACTCAAATTTCAACCCTACAGACTAAGACTGGGATACCATTAAAGTTCATGTGTATATAAAGGCAGGCGTCCCAATACTTTTGGCAATATAGTGTATCTTACCTACCAAAAACATTGTAATTTGGTTCAGCTGATCTAGGCATCCCAGCACAGCAAGGTCCCAAACCTTACTTTTTTTCCACTGTGACTAAAACCACCTCAGCCAGTGATTGAATGGTAAAGATAAAAAAAAAAATCTGCTCTCTAAGACCCCGGTCACACAGGGAGCGACTTGGCATACGATTTGCATGCCACGGGACTTGCAAATTACATGCCAAGTCGCACCCTATTGTCATCGATTACAGCTGTCATATCGGTGCCATTTCTAACTTGTTCAGAGCCACACCGATATCTAAAGTAGTACATGCACTACTTTTGGTGCGATTTGCATAGACATCTGTGTCTTCACTGTAAGTAGCACTATTTCAAAGTCAGGCTAGATGTGACCGGGGTGTTAAGGGATTGAAATGCTACCCCTCCTTCTCCCAGGAAATGTAAGATATTATTTAAAAATGCATTGAAACATGTTTTATACATTTATATTTGGCAGCAGTTCTGGTTTTGAGTAGTTTTGCAAGTTAATGTCAAAGTTAAGTTGTTTACATTTTTATTTATTAGAAGAAAAATATTAAGAGCCTTATGCTTTTAATTACTGATTTATAAGCAATTTAACTCAGAGAATTTTACAAGAATTGAAAATGATCTAATAGACACAGTTTAT